ACATTGCGTTTAGCCCATCCCACTTGATAATAGTTTGGATTGGCGTGACACCCAGCAAGATCTCCACTCTGGGGAGAAAAAACAGGAAGATGGTGAGGTCTTGACCTTGAAAGCAATTGCAAAGACTTCTGCAGGGGAAGCAAGCCCAGGCCTGGATAAGAAAAAGGAACATGAAGACACGCAGAACTAGCATCCAGTATTGGCCATTATATACTACCAGGCACTTAGCCTCTAAGCCAATAATTGGTAGCTTGTATGGATTTTCAAAAAAATTAAGGTAGCCTGCATGGATTTTACAAAAAATTAAAATGACAAGGTTAGTTGATCAGTTAACAACTGGTACTACAGTAATTTTTTTGCTTAAGTAATCCTTCAAGGTCTAACTCAATTTAATAAATATCTTCTGACACTGATTTTGTGCCCAGCTGTGTGGACAAATGAGAAGAAACACAGAAATGAGTCAAGACTCAGTTCAAACTTTAGGAAGCTACTAAAAAGGATAAAGAACTGGGTACAGTGGTATACAGTTATAATGCCAGCAGTGGGGAAGCTGAGGCAGGACCTTGAGTTTGAGACCAGCCTGGGCTACACAGTGAGTTCATGGCCAGCCTATAATACAGTGTAAGAGCTTGTTTCAATACATACATACATACATACATACATACATACATACATACTAAAAAAAGGACACAACAATCTATCTCACAAGTTAGAATATGGTCTCTTCTCAATAGGGACATAAAAGATGAGTGACTAAGAGGCCAGGGGCAATGGTGGTAATCAACATACCACTAATAGGGGGCCTGCCCATCAGCTCAGTTGTTTAAGTTCCTGCTTAAACAAAGCAGTCAGGCTCAGGATGCTGTTGTTCCATCCCCAGATCCTCACGCCAAATAAGACCTGCCCTGAAGGCATCATGAGGCAGCCAAAAAAAAAAATCCTCAGCCCGGGAGATAGCTCATTAGAATGAACACTTCCCTGGCAAGCGCAATGGCCTGAGTTCAATCCCCAGTTCCGTAAATAAAACAAAACATACCACTAATGGGGAGGGTCATCCTTGACTGAACACTGGATAAAAATAAGCACTGTTAGGCATCAAAAAGGGTGTCTGGCAGGAGTGAAAAGTATATATGAGCAGTAAAAGCCAGTATTAACAGAAAACTTGGTGTGCCAAGTACCATTCTAAACATGTACATGTGTTTGGCTATATGTTTGCATACAAACATGGGCATACACTACAAAAATACACATAGGTACATATCTAGTAATGATACGCCACATACAGATGGTCAAGGAACAATAGACCACATGAACAATGGTAGTCCCATGAGATTATACTGCCTGCCATATACCCAACTTAGTTTGTGTAAGCAATCTAGGATGTATACACAATGATGAAATTGCCTGATGATTCACCTTTCAGAACATAATGTGATAGTTTTAACTTATTTGTATTTATAAAATAATTTAATATGTGGTGGCACACACCTGGAATCCCAGCACTTGGGAAGCTGAGGGAGGCTGAGGCAGGAGGATCATTACAAGTTTCAGACCAGCCTGCACTACAAAGTGAGCTTAAGGCCAGCCTGAGCTGCATAGCAAGACGCTGCATCAAAAAAAGCAGGGAGGGGCCAGGGAGATGGCTCAATGGAATAAGCGCTTCCCTGGCAAGCACAAGGGCCTGAGTTTAATCCCTGGTTCTGCCAAAAAAAAAAAAAGAGGAGATAGGAAGCCTCTGAAACTATGTGAGGACCTGCCATTGTCCAATTCAGACCTCCCTTTTTCTTAAGAAACCTTTCAAAGCTATCATTCCAGCACTCTGGGAGTCAAATGCAAAAGGATCCAAATTGTATTTATAAACTAATTTAAAATACAAAGGATCCAGACTGTGCATTTTGGTGACTCGTGAAATCTTGTATCTAGCTAACTAACTAAGGCTAGGGATGTAACTCAGTGCAAAGGCCCTAGGTTCAAAATCTCCTCCAGATATTATGTAGTCATGAAAAAATTAAAAAAAGCTTTTGAAATGATCACGTGGAATGATCTCCAAGATCAATCTGTAAGTGAAATAAACAAAGTGAGAACAATATGAGTAGCATGCTAAATTTGAATTAAAAGTTATCTGCAGTGGTTTGCATGTATGTATAAATACTGACTAGCTCTGAAAGGAAATGTAAAATCTGCTGATAGTGAATGCCTCCAAGGAAAGAACAGGGTAGATGAGAGACAGAAGGATAAAACTTACTTTTCACTGCATACCTCTTAGTACCTTTTAAATTTTAAGCCGTGTGTGTGTGTGTGTGTGTGTACACGCATGTGTGTATCTCCTGGAAAATAAGAACATTTAACCAGAAAAATGGGGGGGAACCCAGAATACAAAATAGATACATAGATACATAGATACACAGATTGAGATATCAACCAACTTTTAGTGTTTTATGTATGGTTTAAAGTCAAACTCTAGGGGCCAGGGAGATAGTTCAGTAGAATAAGCGTTTGCCTGGCAAGCGCAAGGGCCTGAGTTTAATCCCCAGTTCCACCAAAAAAAAAAAAAAAGTCAAACTCAAGGCCATATGTGATCTAAGTTCACAGTTATCTTTCCCCCACCTCCCACCTCCCATTCTAGCTATGTCACATCACTAACAAATTCCCCATTAACACTATACTCACTCTTTGAGGTCTCACCATGAGCACAGGCTAAGTCCCTACCCAGAGAACTCAGCCTTTAAGATGTGGCTCAGGAAAGACTTCCCTGATCCACAAGTGATATATAGGTTATGGCCTCAGGCATGCAGAGTCAATCCCATAGGTGGTGGGGAGCCATGACAGGATTCTCAGTATGGAAGGTAACATGATCAGATTGGATCTTAAAAACTATGGGACATGACTTCAAGTGAGTTGAGGATCATAGGCTTATTCTAGGGTTAAAAATTCACAGCTTCTCAGGGGATTGAGGAGGAAAAAGCCATGGGACTTCTTGACTGACAGTGAATGGCATGGTGGCAAACCTATGGCATGGGAATTATTTACTTTATCTCTTAAGACAAAAGATATTAATGTGTGAGCTGTTTTCTCTAAAGTGAAACCAGGTTTAACAGCAATGTTGGCACTTTGAAAATACAAATGGGTTTTGGGTTACAGTTTGGGCACTCCTCTGAAAATTTTGTCATCACTTATGATATTTGGAACCTTGTGTACTAGTTAAGGGAAGAAGAGTAGTTTGCAACTTTAACAACTGGATGACCTGTTCTATGCTGGAATTGGAGCTGAGAAACCTGCCTAAGAGCTCACACCTCCTCTTCTGACCTGTCCTTGTTTGGAAAAGAACACATCAGGCCCAAGCATCCAGGAACTCAGTGTGAACCACTCATTGCCTATAACAGTTTGGTAGAAGGAACTGACCACTTATTAGAACCCTGGGTAGAAGAGAGGTAACAACGAAGAATGCAGATAGGTACCTGATATATGGTAGTTATATTTTCAATGGCATCTGGTATTTTCATCACTGGAGAATGCAGCCTCTTGATCTCCATTTCAAGTGGGTCTATGTCACCCAAAAGCTCGTCAGATTCTCCTGTGGCCAAGCCTTTAATACAACCAATACCACTGTCAGGGCCCTGGTTCCTCCCTGCTGCCACCTCCCTGATCAAGCCTCAGGAGATTAAGACATGTGTGTGCTGTCCAGGGAGAGTCAGCGGGAAGGTAGCTTTTTCTTCTTGCTGAAAGGCTAGCAAAAGATTAAAAGCTTGAATCTTATAACTGGATACTGCTTGCAGGGAACTAACCTTGGAGCCTCAGTGTGCTCATCTGAAAAATGAGAATTCCACAAGATGTATTCACACTTGGCTGCTGTGAGACGTGGCAGAGGACACCTCTAATTTTCTGACCTGACTTTGATACTGCTCTGTAAATGGCAACCACTGGGATTCTCTCCCTACAATCAAGATCAGTACTCTTCTTCCCTCTGGCCCCTTGCCTAGAGCTGGTCTCCACTACAACCCTCAGATGTGCCCAAAGCCTTGTGCCCACACTATCCTCACAGCTGCTCTATAATTTTGTCCCCATCCCCTTCCCTGAGCCTCCTAATCGCTACTCTCCCTTGGAGATCCAGCACTAGGACCAGCTCCTACAGAAATCCTTCATCATTAACCTCTTTCCCAACCTGCTTCTCAATTTCCCAGAGTTTTCTTTTCTCAAATTGTATTCTCAGTTATGGCCAAGGTCAAGCATCATTTTAAGAACAACAGCTCCAATCCATCCAACTGCCCATCTGACATAAATAGAAATTCAAGTTCAGAAAGAAGGCTGACATACCTGAAGTCATATGGGAAATAAACTAGGAAACAGCTAAGTCCTCATCTGTAATCTACCAATACTAGAAAACCCAGAGAAGGAAAACAGTGGTCCTCAACAGAGAAGAGAAACCAGAAGCCAGGCCAGCTATGACTTTCTTAACTACCCCAGAGTACCTACAAACAGACTAAGAAAGCACTGGGTACTTTGCATGGGTAGGATGGAAAAACAGGCAGAGCCTATAAGCCAGGAGTGTAGAACAGAAGCTGAAGAAATTGTTTCATCTGCTCTATATTTCAGCAAATAATGATTTTTAGTAACAGCCAATATTTACTGAGCATTTATTTGCTATAAGTCAGGCAATGTTGTTCTGTATCTTTTACTATTTTTTTCTTTTTTAGTGCTCAAGATCAAAATCAGGTCCTTATGCATGCTATACACAAGCTCTACCACTGAGCTACAACTTCTGCCTCTCATTATGGCTTGTATCTAGATAGTACCCAGCAAGGCCTCATGAGGTCACAGACAGAGCTTCTCGGAGGGAGCTTTTCAAAGGCTGCTAGATCTAGGGTGTTTGATGTTGGATTAAGGGAGCCCCCACCCTGAGTGTTACTTACCCTGAGGGCAAGTAGCCCAGATGGAGTATGAGATAGAAAGACAGCTATTATGGCTGCTTGCTGCCTTCTGCCTTCCCTGCTTTGCCATACACTGTTTCTCCTCTGCAGTACCCCTCTGCATGCTACCCTGGTTTGGAGTCAGCCAACTAAGGACTAAAACTACAAACTGTGACCTAAAATAAAGCTTTCCTTCTTCAATTTTAGTTGCCGGCTATTTTGTCTCAGCAATGAGAAAAGTAACTAATATACCTACCTCTCTTACATATGAAACAAATCTTCACAATTACCATAAAGTAGGCACTACTGTATCCATTTTCTAGATGACATCATTGAGACAGGGAGAAATGAAATAACTTGTTCAGCACACCAAACTCATAAGGAACAAAGCTTAGATTTGAATGTAAGCAGTCCATACTTTTTACCATCTAGCTATTCTAAGCTATAAGTTCAAGACAACAGGGCAGGAGAGTTGGTTCCAAGGCCACTTCTCCCAAAGACTGACCAGGTAGTATCACATTTCATAAATATAACATTTTTGATTTAGAAACTTCACAGGGGGACTGGGGAGATAGCTCAGTAGAATAAGCACTTGCTTGGAAAGTGCAAGGGCCTGAGTTCAATCCCCAGTTCCGCCAAAAAAAAAAAAAAGAAACCTTACAAGCCAATGGGGATAAAAAGAAAAATCTAGGAATGCATTTGAAATAGCTGTGAAAAAGCCGAGGGCAACATTAGTAAAAGGGTTTCTGAAAGGAGCACTTCAATCTAATCCAGAGTCACAAAGATACAGATAGAGCCTCATACTTCCAGAGCAAGTGTACCAGATACTTTGCAGATTCCTTTCATATCTACCATAAGCTCAAAACTGTCATCACTACCATCCCTGTGGCCCAGATTAGATTCTCTACTTTGCAGAAGAAATTAAGCTTAGAGGTAGTTAAACTTCTCCAAAGCCAAAGTAGGGTGTTATGGTTTACACTAGATACCACCCCCGCAAAGCCACATGTGCTCATAAGTAGAGCTTTAGGGAAGTGACTAGATCATGGGGGTGTGAATTAGTCCACTGATGATATATAGCTAAATATATTTGGGAGGCAAGGACGTGTATGACAGAGTGTGACTTAAAAGGGTGTATCTCCTCCTCTCCTCTCCTGGTCGCTCTCTCTTCTGCTAACATACCAAGAGCTATTTCTCCTCTGCCATACTGCCTTGCCTTAGAGTCAGTCTTAAGGATTTGAAACTTCTATATAGTATGAGCCAAGATAAACCTTTCCTCATTTAAATTGTCAGGGGGCCAGGGAGATAGCTCAGTAGAATAAGCACCTGCCTGATCTTGAGTTCAATCCCTGGTTCTGCAATCAATCAATCAGTAAATAAGTAAATAAATAAATTGTCAGTGTCAGGTATTGTGTCCTGGTGATAAGTGACCGAGACATAAGGCCAGAGAAGGGGAGGTCAAATGTGGGCTCCACCATCTGTGTGGCTCTGCTAGGACAAGACCAGGTATACCTACCCGTCCACACTTACATTCCATGGTGTCTTCATTGGCCTGCTCAATATCCTCAATGTCAAAGATCTCAGTCATCTCCTTAACAATCTCAGCACTGAGATGAGTAGGCAGAGTGTGCGTGGGTGGTGGTAGTATATAGAAGCTGATCTTCCCACTGCATTGGGAGGTAGTGGAAGACAGTGATGATGTCATTGAAGGAACAGATGACCAATCAAAAAGATGAGTTGGCAAGTAAGAAATGGTGAGGAACCACAAAAACTCAGATAAGCAGGAGACATAACAAGAATTCATATAATATGTACATGGACCAATTTCCCATGGTGAACATAATCATTATATATGGCAAACATGTACTAATAAAAATTAAAATTTAAACAAACCCAGACAGTGGCCTCAAACAACAATGGGTTGAGTTGCTACACAATCACTGGGCACTGAAGTGAGACATGCACTGGTACCTTGACTGTCCCCCACCCTGGGACCAAGGAAGTCAGGCTGCTGCACCAGGTGCCAAGTACACAAATGAACCCTTGTGAGCCAGACCATCCAGCTAGCCTCATGCTCAGCTTCCACCTTACCTCACCCAGTCACCCAGGACAGCTTTGGCAGCCTGCTCTTGACTATATAAGCCTCCCTTTTTCTTCTTTCCTAAGCGGTGGGCCACTGCAGTGAGAAAGTGCTCAGTAGTCTGGAACCCAGATACACCATAATAGTTGGAAATCTGGTAAAGAAGAGAGGAAAAGAAGTCATGCAGAATAAAAACCCTTTGGAGTAGGGTAGGGCATCCACCCAGGGACCCTGGTTTGTACCTCCTCCAGACTGCAGTGCTTCAAGATAGTCTCCACTGGAGTCACAGGGTCTGCCAGCTTCTGCACATCGATGCAATTGCGCAGGATGGCACCCACCTCTGAGTTGGGTCCTGGGACAATGCCCGGGGCATCCAGCAGCCTGATAAACTTGTCCAGGTAGACCTCCTGCATGCATCTGGGGCAGGAGAAAAGAAATGCATGGATATGTTAGTCACAAAAGCTAGATCTAGGAAGGATGGGAAGAGGTAAAGGAGTGGAGGGTATCTTACAGGTAAAGTAGAGAGATGTAGGACCAGGAGGCTCTGGAACCCTATAGACCTAGGGCCGATTCTAAAATCCAGTCTCTGTCACTGGGAAGTGAGGTATAGGACCTTAGGCAAGCTTCTGACTCTCTGAACTTCAGCTGCTTACTATAGGCAGCAAATCTGCTCACAAGTAGCCCAATATTATACAGTTACTAGGAGGCTTCAAGGAGCTAACAAGGATAAGCCAGGACGGCACAGGACACACACCTAGGGTATACCAGGTGTTCTTAGTAGAACTCACATGACAAAGAGAAGAATCAGATGGCTCAAAATTAGGAAAGGGACAGGTGCTGAGGTGTGGGAGTTAGGAGTGATGGTAGGAGGTATTAAAGAATTGTTCTTTGCTTACTTAGTTACCCCAGGAACAGCTCCCACACTGCATGCACGGCTGCGCTTCAGGCTATTGATCAGGCTACTCTTCCCAACATTGGGAAGTCCTGCAAAGTAGCAGCAGATGACTAAAGACAGAAAGGGTACTCAGGAACATTTAGGCCAGCCTGCATGGAGGAGGCCCTTTCAGGAGCAGTGACCAGGCCATCGAGAGCCAAAAGTAAAGGCTGGCCTCCTATCTTCCCATCCTAGACCCTGGCCAAGACCCTAGGGCCTTTCTACCTCTCTCCTTTTCTGGACATGCTGGGTAGACATGTCCCTCTCTCTAGAGGAGAAACTCACATCCTACCCACACCCAACCTAGAGATGTGCTCAATGCAAGGCCTTGTAGATAAGATCTACCAGAAAGTAGAAATCAAGAAATGTCTATGTAAAAGAAGACCATCTATTCTTACGTGATTCACTGTGGAAGAGGGGGTTCATCTCCAGATGCCAATCTGTCTCCCCACCGAGATTGTCTTTTCTGTGGTATGGTTTTGTATTTGGACACCTGTGAGCTGCTCTTGGCCCAGGGATGACCTTGTGTGTTTCCTCCCTCACTGAATCTCTCATTTATTGTTCTCTATCCACATCTGCTCAAATTTACACATATGTATTATGGAGTTCCCCAGGTTCCTTAAAGTCTTTGTACATGTCTGTATGCCTATTGATCATTCTCTTTTTTTTTTCTTTTGTATTTTAGGGAAGGGTCTACAGGGTATTTAGGGTCTCACTACTAGATCAGACTCCTGGTGATCCACCTGTTTATAGCCTCCCAAGAACTGGGATTACAGGAACATGCCACCACGCCCAGTCTCAACTGCTGTTTCAGTGTGCCCCAGGGGCAGGGCTGGCATGGCAGGCCCCAGGACCCTGGCCCCTGTTCCTGTTTGCAGGTGCTTTAATCCACTGAGCGATTTGGCCAACCCTCTGTTGATCATTCTCATTCCACATATAAGTGCTTTCTTTTCTCTCTCTCTCACTCAGCCTATTTCCTTAGCATCTTTGTCTCTCTCTATAGATCTGTATCTAAACATCTTTTTCATTCTAACCTTTTTCTCTAGATGCTCTCCACCTCACCAACTCTTCTTCTCTTTATAATTCCCTCTAAGCTAACTCCTCCCAATCTCTTTCTGACTTATTTCTCCTCTTTGTGGCCTTGTCTATGTGTATGTCCCTTATATGTGTTTCACAGTGTCTCTGACTCCCTATCCCCCTTTCTACTTCTCTATACATACATACATACATAAGTACACATATACATATAGATGTATCTGCCTCATCATAAGACATATCTGTTTGTTTCTCTCTGTAACTCTGGTTTATGTCAGAGTCATGGTATATCTGAGTAGTGCTTTGATGGAGCGGAGATAGGATATGAGTAAGAAGGGCTTAGTTCACAGGCATTCTGCTTGAGACTGTGTATCCAGATATGGTCTGTGTGTTCCTCTATATGCAACTCTCTTTAAATCTCTCTATCCCTGTATGTATGATCTTTTCTGAGGTACATATGTATGCACATCAATACAGATGGGGTGTTTTGATCCTTCCGGTATCTCCCTCTACAAGTCTCTGTATACACTCAGATCTGTCTCTACTCCACCAATCCTGCCATCTAGCTTCCCTATTCTATGTCTTCCTCTATGTCTATTTAGGTATATGAATTTATACATTTTCAATATTCAGCTCCCTCTTTAATGTGTCTGTCTCAGCTTCACTTTCTCTCCAAGGTAATCAATCTCTACCTCTCTGAATTTCTTGTTCCCCTCTTATGATTCCTCCCTCAGTACCCTGGATTCCAGAAAGACCCAGGTTTGAGACTCAACTCTGCCCTGTCTAACAAAGGACTGAGCTTACAAGTCTCTATTTCCTTCTCTGGTCCTCAGCATTCTCATCTATAAAGAGGGATGATCACATTACATTCCATCAGCTCTGATAGGGAGAGATGGTAATAACTCCAAAACTAGCACCATGCATTTGATCCATGGTTCTAACACTCAGTACACAATGGCTGAGGCTGGACATGATGGTACAAGCCTGTAAACTCAGCACCATGGGAGGCTAAGGCAGGAGGACTGTCACAAGTTCAAGGCAAGCCTGGTATACATAGTTAGTGAACTCCATGAGAGCATCAACTATGTAGTGAGACCCAGTCTTAAAAATAACAATAAAAACACAAATAGTGACTCTGAGTATGCCTATCCAGTCAAAGTACAAGTCACAAAATGCTTCCTGAACCACTCCCCTCTCCCCAAAAAAACACAACTCTATCTTCCTAGGATCCTGTGCCCCAAAATTCAGCCCCTGCCTGAGGAAGGAGACTGAGCCTCATGACCATTCACCAGACCTTACCCACAACACCCACACGAATGTGGGTACGCACTTCACCCAAGCGGCAATAGTTCCCCAGAACCCTCATGAGGTTTTCAGCTCCAAAGCAGGCTTTGCTTTTCAGCAGTGACTCAGAGGCTTGCTCCACTGGCACACTGCACCGATTCTGGAAAATGAGAATGATACTAGAGAAAAGGGATCAGGTGAAAGATGTGTTCTGAACCTAAGTAGATTTCCTACTTAGAGCAAAATATTCAGGATCTCCCTGTAATCACTGAGCTCCTCAGCCTGCAATGGAGGATTTCTCACACAGACTGAAAACCTGCTACTTCCCCACTCCCTTCTACTATGTCTCCAGTCTTCATTGTCCCTACCTCTGCTGTCAAACATGGCCTCTTGCCTCCCATAAAGGGACAAGATAGCATCCTGCTTCTATACAGGCCAGGTTTGAATTGTAGATCTACCTCTCACAAGCCAATGCCTGGAAAAGTATGGTTCCCTTCCCTAGGCCTCAGTGCCTTCCTGTACAAACAGGGATACCTGCCCTCCCTGCCTGCATTCCCTTGACTCCTCACACAGAACAAGGCCACCCTGGTGTCTCTCTTTATTCCTGACATCATCTCCTCTGCCCAGAATACCCTTCCTCTTCTTCCTCTTCCCTCACTCACCACATAATTTTTTAATATCACAAAGTTGGAATTAATATCAATCAATAAGAAATAGGTCCTAAAGGTAATCTTTAAGATGAAGCAAAAATGGAGTAAAACTATTCAAAAAGAATGTTTACATCTTTGCTATCCAAATGGCAAAATAAAAAAAATGGTTGGTATGCATAGCCCACAAGTGGAATACTTGTCTAACATGCATGAGGCTCTGGGTTTGATCCCCAACTCAGTGGAGCACAGCACAAGAAAAAGAAGCCAGGATAGTAAATGAGACATCATATTTCTCAAAGACTAAGAAGTTAAATGCTATCTGAAAAAAATTAAATGTAGATTGACCCTGTTTACATGGAGACTTCTATTTAGAAAATGTTGATTTGAGAGAATCAATCACATACCACTGGGAATAAAAATAGGTATTCTTACAAAAAGCATATAGCTTAATGTTATCAAGTGTTCATAAGGACATAGAGAAAGAGAGGCCCTCTCCTATATTCATCTACCTCAAGAACAAGGATAAGCAAAGGGGCAATTTGTTAGTGTCTAGGAAAATGTATAATGAAAAAAGCTTACATCTGATCCAGTCACTCTACCTTTCAGTACCATACCAACACTTGCTCACTTTCCAAACAATGTATGCAAACATGTTTTGCAGAAGCAGTGGTTGTATCAAAGAAAAATTGGGAACTAGAAGCTAGAACATGGCTCAGTGACAAAGAACTTATTTAGCATGCACAAACTCCTGGGGTCCATCCTTAAAACTATGGAAGAGCTGGGCATGGTGGCACACACCTGTAATCCCAGCAGATAGAAGGCTGAGGCAGGAGAATTGTCCCAAGCTCGAGATTAGCCTGGGTTCAAAGCTAGCATGAGCTACATAGTGAGATCCTGTCACAACCAAAAAACAAAAACTATGAAAAAGAGTAACTTTTAACACAAAGTAGAAAATAAAAAAAAAATATCTCCAGTACCCAATCTCTCTCCCTGGAAGTAGTCAATATTTCTGTAAGCTTTAACACTTTATAATGAAAAATATCTCTATATTAATGATATCATTAAGTACCGTGGCTTTTTTTGAGGCAGGGTCTCACTTTGTAGTTCAGCCTGGCATTGAGTTCATTATGTGGCCCAGGCTGGCCTAAACTTGCAGTGATCCTGCTTCAGTCTCCCAGGTGCTAGTATTACAGGCATGCACCACCATGCCCAACTAGTATGGCTTATTTTAAAGAAAAAAATGAGTATCTATATAATTTTGGAATTTAATAAGTTAACTACATTTTCCAAATTTCCTAAAAACAAATTTTCCTCTAAGTAGTATATATTATCCTTATAGCTAAAAAAGAAAAAAAAAACTGCTTCCCCAAGAGGAAGGGGTGAAGTCAAACTAAAATTAAGAAGTCACCCAGAAAGTGAAAAGTTCAAAGCTGAAGACAAATTTCAACTAAAGGGCTGGAAGGGCCTGATCCAAGTTATAATTCCACCACCACAGACTTCTGACTCCCTTCAAAGAGGCTAGAGACCTCTTATCTCACTCTTACCAAGTTCTTGACCTGATGCTGGGTGCTGGCTTTGAAAGCCACTGTTGGCAGCTCATTGCGAAGGTAATCTAGCCATTTCGCCACAACCTCTTTGGGAACCAGGTCTGGGAAAAATAGGAACAAATAGGGCTGATAAGGAGAACATCACCTCCATGTCTCTCTCCAAAGGTTTACCTGGCCACACTCAAGGCTAGGCCCACATGCTGCCCTACCAGGCTCTGTTCAGTCCCTCGGTTTGAGTCAAATGGACAGTCTGGTCTACAGGGCCGTTGGCCCTTCCTAAGGTGACCTATTCCCTCAGGGAAAATATACAAACTACCTGCTTGGTCCCAGACATCACCCTGCCAAGTCAAGAGCCAGAGGCCTCCCAAAGATTGTATTTTTCATTCCTTCTCTAATAGATTATTCTATGGTAAGCCAAATGACAAAAATATCTGTCACAAAGTATGGCTATCATTTCTAAAGTACTGACCACATACCAAGCACTTCATCATTAATTCTCACATTGAGGTTTGGGCATCCATGACCCATTTTAGTTACAGAAACAAGAGCTGTCAGAAGTGACATGACTTATCAAGTATCTCAGAGAAAACAGCTCAGGTGAGATGAGACCTGGGCCTAAGTGACCCAAGTCAATGTGCTCTTCTGCCTCATACCCTGAATTCCAGCCTAGGGGTAGAGGAACTCTCCAAGGCTGTCCAGTTACAGAAATCGATCAAAATGGCAAGAAAAGGGGATTGGAAGTTAGATAGGCTTGGACTCCACTCCCACCTCAGGCTATACTCTGATTATGTCTTCAGATAGTATTCCTGGCTTTGAAAATGGAAAGAAGAATTACTACCCTCTGTGTCTGTTATGAGTACCATTCAGTTGCTGGGTCTCAGAATCTGGTCCAAATAAATCTTTCAAGAAGGCCTGCCATCGAAGACAGCAATGAGTAATACAAAAACCATGGTTGAAGACCTCTCATCTTGGCCTTCTAAATGTGTACTATTTCTAATGTCTTATCAATTATTATTATACTCTCTATAAAATAAACTTTTGTTTTTGGCAGACCCGGGAATTGAACTCAAAACCTTGCACTTGCCAGGGAAGTGCTTATTCCACTGAGCCATCTCCCCGGCCCCTAAAATAAACTTTTAAAAAAGTAAAAAAGATGAGAAAAAGTTAAGGTTTCTTGAAAGCAAGAGTCAGTAACTATTAGCCCAATCTTGCATAACCATGTCTATTAATCTGAGCAACAGATTTGATGATAAAAATAGATAATATAGAGGCCGGGGAGATGGCTCAGTAGAATAAGC